TTCATCTTAAAATTCCTTTTTATTTTTATTTATCGTCCCCATTCTTCTCGTCCTTTTTACTCAAACTTTTCCCCGACATTATACAAGATACATTTTCCCGGTACTTTCCACGAGTTATGAAATATAACCACCGACAACTTTTCTTATACTCTCGGCTTTTATTCTCCAGAATGTGTAAAATAAAAACTAAAAATTCTGGAGAGTAAAAAACTCTGATTTGCATTAATTAATTTTTTTTTAGAGGATAAAAAATAAATAAACAATTTGCATTTATTTTTTTTTATCTATTTTATTAATATTTTTTTTTTTTTAATTATTATTGTAATAAATAATAATTATGTATATTACACGAGCAATCTTTCGGTACAACTAGAGACTCAACATGACTATCAGTTTAAATTATTTATTGTTCTTTGATGAGCGATAATAAATAAAATGATTATTAACTTTACTAGCTAGTGGATGTTTATAATAAATGGACGTACGCAAAAATAATTCACGTTACGGTATTATTTTAATACTCAACGATAATCATAATAATAATTCCGTAACATTAATAATAAATACACGGTTAAAAATTTAGATGATTGTAAATCTAGCAGACAATTTTTGTTTTAATTAAAAAAGAAATTTTTCAATTCAATAAAAAAAAAAATAACTTTTCTGAACTTTCTTAAATATTGACGTTCATAAAGATATAAGCTCATCCTGATGTTACACGCATCAAGAGCTTTCATTAGAGTACCCACATGCATTTTTTATATATTTTTCATATATAATATATATTTTAAATATATAAGCTCATCCCGATGTTACACTCGTCAAGAGCTTTCGTTTGAATACCTACATGCATTTTTGATATATTTTTCATATATACATATATATATAATATATAATATATATAAATATATAAAATATATAAAAAATTGATGTGGGTACTCAAATGAAAGGTCTCGATAAGAGTAACATCGGAATGAGCTTATATCATTAAAAATGTCATTAGTTGACAAAATCCAATGTCACTTTTTAATTATTGACATTTTTAAAGATATAAACTCATTTTAATGTTATACTTATCGAAACCTTTCATTTGAGTACCTACATGACATTTTTCATATATTTCATATATATTGTATTTGTGAAATATATAAATATATAAAATATATGAAAAGTTGATGTGGGTACTCAAATGAAAGGTCTTGATGAGCGTAACATCGGGATGAGCTTATATCTTCAAAAATGTCAATATTTCACAAGATACAAAGTCATTTCTTATGTCATCATAAATTTATGACTCTAAATCTTGCAGAAAAAAATTTTTTATAATTAAAAAAAATTTTCTAAGTGAATTTTTCTTATCTTTAAATAAAAATTGTCTGCTAGATTATTAATTAAAAATTAAGACACTATTTTTTTTCAATTGAATAAATGGCAAACATGATATTTCACCATCACTACGAGTATTTGGTGAATAACAACATGAAAAAAAAAAAAAAAATTATTTGACTTTAAGCCTCACGATAAAACTCACGTGCTCAGATTTATTTAGTTTGGGCAATAACTCTCTTGCAAATTTCATTAGTGTACTCGCTGCACTTGGCCTTACCGCCCAAGTCACCGGTCAAAAATTTCGCTTCCTTGATAGTATCGTAAGCCGAGTGTTCAATAATGCGAGCGTGGTCATTGAGACCCATGTACTTAAGCATCATGACAGCGGACAGCAACAAGGCAGTGGGGTTGGCTTTGTCTTGTCCAGCGATGTCCGGAGCGGTTCCGTGGACGGACTCAAAGAGAGCGCCGTTGAGTCCGATGTTGCCACTGGGGGTCAAACCGAGACCACCGACTAGACCAGCACACATGTCAGATAAGATGTCACCGTACAGATTTGGCATCACCAGGACGTCGTACTGGGAAGGGTCTTGCACCATGTTCAGACAGACTGTGTCGAGGTAACGTTCCTCGAATTTAACGTTGGGGAATTTTTTTGCTGCGTCTCGGCAACAGCGAAGGAAAAGTCCATCGGACATACGCATGATGTTGGCTTTGTGTACTGCTGTTACCTGAAATTTAAAGCAATTTATTACATAATTAAGAAATGACCTTGTATCTTGTGAACTATTGACATTTTTAAAGATATAAGCTCATTTTGATGTTACACTCATCGAGACCTTTCTTTTGAGTACCCACATCAATTTTTCATATATTTTATATATTTATATATTACATATATGTATATATGAAAAATATATCAAAAATGCATGTGGGTACTTAAATGAAAGGTCTCGATGAGTGTAATATTGAAGTGAGTTTATATCTTAAAAAATGTCAATAATTGAGAAATGACCTTGTATTTTGTGAACTGTTGACATTTTTAATGATATAAGTAGAGGTGTGCGAATATCGTTCGAATCGAATCGAATCGAATATTGATATTCGATTCGAAATTCGAACCGAATAATTCGAAAATTCAAATTATTCGATTCGGAACGAATAATTTGTAAGTTCGAATTATTCGCACACCCCTAATTTTAAACCCTAATCTACTTAACTCTTGATAAGTCTTGATAGCAATAGCCACGCGGACATGTAAAAATGAAAACTCTAAATTTCTGTTTGGCCTAGAATCCTTGTAGAGAATGCGAAAACGATTCAATTGATGCATAATAATGTTTAAAAATGAACTTATTGAAAATTTTAAACCCTAATCTAGTTAACTCTTGATAAGTCTTGAGATAAGACTTGATAGCATAGCCACGCGGACACGTAAAAATGAAAACTCTAAATTTTTTATAAGTTACTAATCTAATCAACTGTTTGACCTAGAATCCTTGTAGAGAATGTGAAAACGATACGATTGATGCATAATAATGATTAAAAATGAACATATCGAAAATTTTAAACCTTACTCTAGTTAACCTTTGATAACTTTTGATAACAATAGCCACGCGGACACGTAAAAATGAAGACTAAATTTTTTCCAAATTACTAATCTAATCAACTGTTTGGCATAGAATCCTTGTAGAG